GAGGACGAGAACGGACTACAGTATTATCTCGTTAAGTCGATACATGATTAGTCGATTTTCTGGATAACTCGATAACTTTCTTCGGATCCTTCCATTCGTCATACAAATCACGATACACACAATATTGAGTCCCTTTTCCCAATTATCGACTTAAACTAATTACTGGACTACTCTTAGAATACCTTCAAAATGCCTTCGAAAAAGCTCTATTCTATGTCTCTCGAACAGCGAAAAGCCCTCCGAACCTGGCATCGATCTCACCATCCGAAACCTACACAAAAGGCCACTATACAGTGGTTCCTCGAGAAATACAATCGTCGACTTAGCCAATCTACAGTCTCAGAATCCCTTAGCTCTCGATTTTTGGACCTTGACGATACTTCTAATACTCTGGACACAAACAGCTCTAAAGCTCAGCGTCGCCACGCTGTCGCCTGGCCTGAATTAGAAGCTGCTCTTTACGACTGGCAGAGGCTTATTGAAGAGCGTGGCGGCATTACAACTACAGAAATCTTACAATCAAAGGCGAAGATTATCTGGAATCAGCTACCACAATACCGTGGACTACCTACGCCAGAATTTAGCTACGGTGTTACGGCTACGGTAACGTGACGTCATGGTTACAGGACCAGGGCCTAGTAACGTGACGTGTGAGTCACAGTGGGAAGCGGGGTAGGCTGCCATGTGACGGGGCTAATGGATAGTTGCAGAAACTAGTGGATATTAGATAGTTGAGCTATCCACGAACTATCCTGAATATCTAGCTATCCGCCAACTATCCAGATTACCCATGAGGCACGACGCCATTATATAAGTAGATAGTATTTCCTTAGATAGGAGCTTTGTGCTCAACTCAATATAGTATCCTTTACAATACTGTAACGTGTTACTTGGAAAGCCTTTGTGTCTAATCCCCTGCCTCCTCTGTCAAGTCAACCTTACGCAAGAAACCTCTGTGTCTTCTATCTTTTAGAAGTCAGCGTTACATACGGATGGATCGTAAAGTTTCGACAACGGCATAATATATTATATCGAACTCTACATGGTGAAGCTGGATCTATTCGTGTCACTGCAGAAGAACAAATGAAGGCTATACAAACTATTGTGGGGGAGTTTTTAGAGGACAATATTTACAACATGGATGAGACTGGGCTTTACTGAAGGATGAGCCCTTCAAAGGGCTTTACAACACGATCAATTCCAGGACAGAAGAAGGACAAAGCACGCATATCAGTAGCCATTTGTGTTAATGCTGCTGGAACAGATCGACTTCCTCTTTGGTTTATTGGAAAGGCTAAAAAGCCTCGAGCTTTACAACACGTTGATGTAGGGGCAATAGGTGGGGTTTGGAGGTGGAATAAGAAGGCTTGGATGAATCAATTTGTTATGGCAGATTGGCTAAATGCTTTCTATACTCATATTGGTACGTCACGTTCTATACTCGGTGTTCCACCCACTCGCTTCGCTCGTAGGTGGCGACAGCAAGTTGTGCGTGCGACAGCAAGATGTGCGACACATAAAACGAAGAAAAAGACGCCTTATATATCAACTATATAACTATATAATTAAAACATAAAATCAATAGAACTACTATCACTATCGCTACTGCCACTATTGCTACTATCACTTTGATCCTTACTATACCGTAAAATGATCACTTTTGATTTCAACCCTTCCTTCTTCCGCTCTGCTACCCGCTTCCTCTCAACCTTACGCTCTTCAATTTCGATTTTACGTGCTTGCGCTTGTAGCTGCTTTACTACTTGGTCCGATTCCCTTGCTGCTCTTGCGTCTGCTTTTGCTTGCAACTTTGCTTTCTTCTCTTCCCGCATTTTCCGTGCATCTGATGCATATAACTGCCCTCCTTTCTGTAGTGATTTCCGTGCCCTTGCCTTTGCTGCCTTCTGCTCTACTGCACGTAGAGTCATAATATCTAGCTCGGTCTTATAGAGCTCTGCCCGGTGTAGAACAACTGTAGTTCCACGTGCAAATGATTGAAACCCTTCTCTTGAAGGCGATGAGAAAGCTTCCTCTGCTCTCTTCTGCCAATGTTCAACCGCTTGCACACTTTGCATAGTTGTTTTCGGTGTTGAGATAATATTATATGAAGCAAATGGCTCATAATCAGGTGTTTGATTCCGAGTCTCTTGTATCTTGTCAATTACAAGTGGAGGATTATATGGATATAGTCCTGTATTTCTCCAACCAGATTGAATTGTACGGACAGTTAGAGATTGCCGTCGGATTTGCGGGAGGTCTGAAAGGAACGTACGTAGCTTATACTCATAGTCGTAGCTACGTACTGCTTGATCAAGTGCCTTTTGATGAAAGTGTTTGCACTGCTTAAAAACCGCTACATCAAGAGGTTGTAATAGATGTGTTGTATGAGCAGGAAGGCAGCAAATAACAATGTTATGCTCTTCTGCTAATGTAAGAAAGCGCTCTGTTTTATGAGAGTCATGGCCGTCAAGTAATAAGAGGCGAGTATCATCTGGTGCCATATGCTCTGCAGATAGTTGGATAAAATGCATAAGGTATTGGATTGCAATGTCGTCGTTTGAATACCCGCTCTCATTTACAATAATGAGAGCATTTGGCTCAAGGTCATCATTGTACCATGAATCCATATGAAGTTTGCCAGGGATAATGATAGCTTCTGCAAGTGCAGCACCACTTGCATTTACTGCCTCAATTACAGTAACAGAGAGCCGATTCTCAGGATTATCAACAGTCCACTGCTTTACACCGATTGGTACAATAACAGCCGTAGACTTATAACACCCAATCATATAGCCTGTCTCATCAACATTCCATAAATTATATGGCTTAATGTTATGTTTTGTAATAAGGGCGTTATATGTGAGAAAGAATTCCTCAAACACCTCTTTCTTTTGTGCTTGCTTCCGATGTGTATTTAACGTCTTCGTGTGAATTGTATGAAATTCGGGGTGTGCTTTTAGAAAGCGTTGTAGCCACCGTTGTGATGGTATCGTACGATTAGGTCGTAAGTCTGCAACTGCCCGTAGTATCATAGATCGGTTGGCAGGGACCCCGCGCTCAAGTTGGTCGTATATGAATTGACAGACCGCGGTCTCTTGCGATTGAGATAAGACTCGATTGCTACCTCCGTGGGGTAATTGAGGAGACGTAGTACTCGTAATACGACGTCGGAGTGTCTCACGGTTGACATTGAATTTATTTGCAACCCAAGCAATTGTATATGTACTTGGTTGTTTTAAGAAGAACTGTTGGGCCTCATTAAGGCGAGCAATCATAGTAGGATCGTTATTTTGAGGCATTGTAGATACTACGTTATGAAGAATACTATTATTTTTTCTATATATCAAAATAGCGGTGTACGCACATCTTGCTGTCGCACGCACAACTTGCTGTCGCCACCTACGAGCGAAGCGAGTGGGTGGAACACCGAGTACTGCCTACAATGGATAACTTCTCAGCCCATATCGCTGCAGTGGAATCGACGCCTCCTCCTCCAAACATACGAATTATCTGGCTTCCTCCAAATGTGACCAGTCGATATCAACCTCTCAATCAAGGTATTATAGCCTCTTTAAAAAGCTATTATCGTCGGCAATGGCTCGAGTTCATGCTCGAATCTTTTAGCAACAACCTGGATCCAATCAAAACAATGACAATACACTTTGCAATTCGCTGGCTTATTCGATCATGGCATCACGACGTTACAAATACGACTATCTACAATTGCTTTCGAAAAAGCACGATTCTTTTACGCCCAATACAGCTTCCTATACACCCACTCCCTGTTCTAAACGACTTATATACTCGAGTACAACAAGCTGGTCATATATCAGACGCTATGGACCTTTCGAACTTTTTGAATCCAGCGGAGGAGGGAATACAAGAGGTGGAGGGAGGCTTAGATGAGGACACAATTCTACAGGAGGCGATGGCTCCATATATACAGGTTTCCGATGCTCAAGATGATGACATGAATGAGGAGCCCCAGCGTCCTGTGCTCACCACACAGAACGCTGTACACAGAACACTGTACAAGCCCTCCAAGTTCTGATTGAGTTCTCAGAATCTGAGAATAGTGGCATCACGGATCCAGCATCATTTTTGCGCTCTTTAGAGCGCGTGGAGAGGCAATTAGTGGCCAAACAGGCCAATGAGTTGGTTCAAGGCACGTTGGATGGATGGATGGTTTAGCTGAGGGGCTACTTCGGGTCTACTTCAGATCACTTTCTAACTCGATATTTCTATAACTCGATATATTTATGCATGACCAATTACATCGACTTAACGAGATAATACTGTACCACGCGAAAAAAACGAAAAAAGGCCCCACTGAGACACTATCGCGGGACATTTCACGTCCTAGTGTGACAGTGGTCGCATGGTGTTGGGGGCCTCAACATGGAACGCAATCCCACAGCCTCGTCTTTGCCCGCAAGGCCAGCAGTGATACCATGTCGGGATCCTCCAAAAATTCCATTTTTGGGTTTCAAAAGTCACGGTACATGCGCGAAATGGCCATGCGGCTGAGATGCTGCAGCACTTCGGGGTGTGTTGTTGTTGGTGCGGGGAGACACGTTTGGTACCCTAGTATTTGAAAGCTACGGCGCCGTGTACACGATATACTTATGACAAGGGACAGCTTCGCCGAAATGACCAGGAAGGATCGCGACAAGCTTCCGCAGCTGCGAACAGGGTTAAAATTAGATGAGGATCTCTGCATGTTGGTGTTTTCGGGCTTTTGTGGTCGCGAGTTTCAAGGCCGCGTTTTTACGTGGTTATTGCCCACTATAAATGTAATCGGCTTAACAAGTTCGACCATTCTACTTTGCTGACATATTCCGCCCTAGGTCGCATGTTGGCTACTGCTCCTTCGAGCTATTTTCTACTCAATACAAGTGCCTGGTGACTAAATTATCCATAGCACAGAAGGAGCCAAGAAGAGCAATCTCTCCGTCACCGCCAGTGTAGAGATCATATGCACGACGTGTTATATTAAAGGCATGGCCAGTGCGCAGTTTACTATTGCTGGGGGCTTCAACTTCAGCGAGGCAGTTGGCAACGTCACGTCTGAGATCGGAGCGGAAATCGCCAATGTTACCGAGACAGTCATTGACGACATTAAGGACTATGCCGGGAACTTCACGGAGAGTGTGATAAGTGGCAACTTTGACGGTGTTGAATTCCCGCCATTCGATGTTGACTTCGATGTCGAGTTGCCCAAACTCCCAGAGTGCAATCTCAAATTCCAATTCGATGGTCTAGAGCTGTACATGGAAATTGACACCATATTATCGGGCAGCGCCACGTACACTCTCAATCTGTATACATCTCAGACCCCACTAGGTTTTGCTGTGGGCAAGGATTTGTTGGTTGGTGTTGTCTTCTCTATAGACTTAATTATCAGTGTAGACGCCGAGACGATATCAGCAGCGGCTTCCACATCAAGCTATTGATATCCACATGTTCGACCACGACGTCTCAAGCATAACCTTGTAAGCCCAACATCCCATCCAATCTCCCGTCAGAAATACATACTAACCTATCACCCCCAGTAACGGCGGCAAGTTCGAGTTCCTCCCGGTAACCCTCGCGGGCGCCAACACCGTCCTTATCGCCGTCCTCCGCCTCGGCATCCGCTCCGGCCTCGAACTCAGCACTCCCACCTCTTTCGTCGGTGGTATCCCCGTCAAATTTATCGTCACCAACGTCACCGCCGCCCCCGACCGCGACGACTGCCCTCTACAAGTCGTGGAGGAGTACTCCATGCTCGTCGGTGCGAACGCAGGCGCTTCGCTGGCGGTGGGTGAACATTCGTGGGGACCGGGGCCGAGCACGCAGGTGCCGATTTGGTATACCACGCTTGTGGATATCTGTGCGGGTACGAAGACGGCGGTGGCGCCGGTTGTCACGAGCACGGCGGTGGTGAGGAGGGATGAGGGGATGACTACGACTACTACGGTGGTTACGCAGATAGCGACGGTGTGTTTGTCTACTGGGCTTGTGAATTGTCCCGCGTCGCTGCAGTCGGCGGTGAAGAATGTGGTCACGAGTACGTTGATAGCTGCCGTGCCGGTGGGTACTGCTGAGGCTGCGTTCCCGACTACAACGGGGGATACGGTTGTGAGGACCAAGGCGTTTGGAGCGGGTGCGAAGGAGATGGGGGCTACGACTGGGAGTCCTGTATCGTATGTCCCGACGATTTCGTCTATTACTACGTCTAAGCCTACAAGCAGTGGGTCTATATCTACGGGCACGGATAGCAGCATTCTTAAAGGGAAGACGAGAGGTGTGAGTAATAAAGTCATAATCGGCGTGAGTGTCGGTGTCGGCGTGCCAGTGTTGATTTTAATTATTGCCGGGTGCTTGTAAGTTTTCCAGTCCTCTCTTTCGCCGCGCTCAGCTCGGTATACAGTACTCGGTGTTCCACCCACTCGCTTCGCTCGTAGGTGGCGACAGCAAGTTGTGCGTGCGACAGCAAGATGTGCGTACACCGCTATTTTGATATATAGAAAAAATAATAGTATTCTTCATAACGTAGTATCTACAATGCCTCAAAATAACGATCCTACTATGATTGCTCGCCTTAATGAGGCCCAACAGTTCTTCTTAAAACAACCAAGTACATATACAATTGCTTGGGTTGCAAATAAATTCAATGTCAACCGTGAGACACTCCGATGTCGTATTACGAGTACTACGTCTCCTCAATTACCCTACGGAGGTAGCAATCGAGTCTTATCTCAATCGCAAGAGACCGCGGTCTGTCAATTCATATACGACCAACTTGAGCGCGGGGTCCCTGCCAACCGATCTATGATACTACGGGCAGTTGCAGACTTACGACCTAATCGTACGATACCATCACAACGGTGGCTACAACGCTTTCTAAAAGCACACCCCGAATTTCATACAATTCACACGAAGACGTTAAATACACATCGGAAGCAAGCACAAAAGAAAGAGGTGTTTGAGGCAGTAAATGCAAGTGGTGCTGCACTTGCAGAAGCTATCATTATCCCTGGCAAACTTCATATGGATTCATGGTACAATGATGACCTTGAGCCAAATGCTCTCATTATTGTAAATGAGAGCGGGTATTCAAACGACGACATTGCAATCCAATACCTTATGCATTTTATCCAACTATCTGCAGAGCATATGGCACCAGATGATACTCGCCTCTTATTACTTGACGGCCATGACTCTCATAAAACAGAGCGCTTTCTTACATTAGCAGAAGAGCATAACATTGTTATTTGCTGCCTTCCTGCTCATACAACACATCTATTACAACCTCTTGATGTAGCGGTTTTTAAGCAGTGCAAACACTTTCATCAAAAGGCACTTGATCAAGCAGTACGTAGCTACGACTATGAGTATAAGCTACGTACGTTCCTTTCAGACCTCCCGCAAATCCGACGGCAATCTCTAACTGTCCGTACAATTCAATCTGGTTGGAGAAATACAGGACTATATCCATATAATCCTCCACTTGTAATTGACAAGATACAAGAGACTCGGAATCAAACACCTGATTATGAGCCATTTGCTTCATATAATATTATCTCAACACCGAAAACAACTATGCAAAGTGTGCAAGCGGTTGAACATTGGCAGAAGAGAGCAGAGGAAGCTTTCTCATCGCCTTCAAGAGAAGGGTTTCAATCATTTGCACGTGGAACTACAGTTGTTCTACACCGGGCAGAGCTCTATAAGACCGAGCTAGATATTATGACTCTACGTGCAGTAGAGCAGAAGGCAGCAAAGGCAAGGGCACGGAAATCACTACAGAAAGGAGGGCAGTTATATGCATCAGATGCACGGAAAATGCGGGAAGAGAAGAAAGCAAAGTTGCAAGCAAAAGCAGACGCAAGAGCAGCAAGGGAATCGGACCAAGTAGTAAAGCAGCTACAAGCGCAAGCACGTAAAATCGAAATTGAAGAGCGTAAGGTTGAGAGGAAGCGGGTAGCAGAGCGGAAGAAGGAAGGGTTGAAATCAAAAGTGATCATTTTACGGTATAGTAAGGATCAAAGTGATAGTAGCAATAGTGGCAGTAGCGATAGTGATAGTAGTTCTATTGATTTTATGTTTTAATTATATAGTTATATAGTTGATATATAAGGCGTCTTTTTCTTCGTTTTATGTGTCGCACATCTTGCTGTCGCACGCACAACTTGCTGTCGCCACCTACGAGCGAAGCGAGTGGGTGGAACACCGAGTATACTAACCACGCGATTTGAGTAGTTACTGCTACAAGCGCCGGAGATATACTCCTATGCAGATGACGGATACGATTTATAGTGGTGGGAAATCGAATTTTGGGACACCAGAGTCGGATAATAGCGGCTTTGACGTGGCGCATAGGGGGTGATGATGGGCCGCGCTCGTGAATATGGTGTATGGAGTTCGGGTCGGGATTGGATAGCAGGGCATTTTTATGAGGTCTGGATGGTTCGGGGTTTCAGCAAGTGCACGGGCTGCGTTTCGGGAGTTGTTGTGGTTAGAGAATGTCCACCTAAGGCATGCGTTTCGAATCCAACAATTATAATTCTCCCTTTATGAAGCCATATATCGCAATAAATTGTAGCTTGAATTAATAGCTAGAGGCTGGAGATTATCCTTCCGTATTTATATTTGAATATTCGTGTTGTTGAGGTAGGTTATAATTTTAACATATTCTGCAAATATAATATTAAATTCCGATTCCACGAAATATTAACTTATTCCAAGCACTTAACATCTCAATAAACGAAACCCTATAGAACATATTCATTTAAAAACACTCCGAACTTGCCAACGCTCATCTGTGCGCTATTTAATGAACTATCATGTTCACGCAACCTGCGAGTGGTAGCACGTTAGCCGATCAAGAACGGTAATATAAAAACGGGCTGCCCACCTCCTCGATTATGTCGTTGTACGTCTCTTCCATAAACACTCGACAGGAACCATTTATATTATATTAAATATTTAGATTACAACGGAGCTAAAGTAGGTATACGTAAGTGTATTTGTTATTGATGTCATTGTATTTCTAGTGTGGCTGTTGCCTCTTAGTTGGTTCCTGCCTTTTACCGTCGGTCGTACCTTCCTTTTCTGCCTCACGTATATTTTACTGTTAGTCGTACCTTCCATTATACGGATTCCTGGGTTATACTAACAGGAATTCATATTTACGAATATCAATGATCTCATATGTTCTTCCGCGAATAAATATTATACCTTTAAATAAATGGAAAGTCCCACAGGGAAAGATATATTGATAACGAGAGAACTGGAAGCTAAAGACAAGAGCAGTCACAATTCACAAGCATCATCAAGAGTCCGACTTAAAGGCAAGATTATGAATCCATTACTAGCATTATTAAAACAAAGGCCACAGGAGATCCCAACAGGCGTCCCCGTCCATCTCAACTTCGCGTGACAAAAGACTAGAAAAGATTCATCCAAAAGCCCGAATTATCACCAGATATCCTCCACTACAACCCCGAGAAGAAACAAAAGGAACCATCTCGCTCATGCGAGAATATGTAAGGAATGTCGACCATGCGCACGCCGATCACGCGCACCGGCGAGGGTATGTGCAAACGGCGGACCCGGCCAAGGCAGTATTGGCGAGTAGCCGAATCAAGTCGAGTGTTGCATTTACAACACAACGTTGATCTGGAGACCGTTCTGGTTCACACAGTTCTGGGTCTTTTGGGATGTTAGTGACTGAAGATGGTGTGTGAATGAAGGATGGGAAAACTTACTCCGGAACCGCTGTTGGTGCAGCAGACTTGCTGGTTGGCGCAGGCACCAAGAACATTCTGGAGGACACAGCCGATGGCGAGGAGACCGGCCTGAGACTGGCAGCAGTAGTTGGAGCCGTTGACGCACTGGACATTGCCGTTGTTGGGGCGGTCACTACCGTGGCCACCCTCATGTCCGTGGCCACCGTCATTTGGGAGAGCAGTGGAGACACAGGCAGTGGCGACAATGGTGGTGATGATCTTGGAGATTTGCATATTTGCGGTTGGTTTGTTTGAAGCTGGAAGGCTTGAGAAAAGTTGATTGAAGTGAGTGAAGTGAGTGAAGTGAGATGAAGATGAGATTGTTGATGATGATGAGAAGAAATGGGATGAAGGCGAAGAGGGTGGTCTTTATAGATTTTTTGAAGGGCAAGCAACGTTCGAGCTCGCTTCCTGCATTCCCAGATAGGACATGTCTGTCCATTTGCTGCTGTGGGCTGTTCTCAGGAAACAGAGATCGCTGTGCCGCTAGCGGCAGTGGTGGAGATGCATTTCAAGACAGGAGGTGTGCGCTGGGTTGATGCAGTGCATGGGCGCGAGTGGATACGCGGTAAGAGTCTCTAGCTTATGCCCCTTGATCCGCCGCAAACTGACAAGTGAGACAGTAAGATGAGAAAAACCCACGAGTCAACGCGAATTTGGGATATTGACCAGGTCATCTTGCAGCTCAGCGTTGCACTGGAATACGTGGAAACAGGCTATTGAAGCTCGACTGAGCCAGCCGATCAGCTAAATTCATAATTTCCTACTGTTTCGGGGAAAGATGCTAACTTTGGCATTCACCAAAACGGAGGCAAAAGAAGATGGCATGGCTGATGATAAACTGCACATGCCATTCTGCAGCGTGGAGTTGCCTTCCTGTTTCTCCGGGCAGATGACAAACCGGCAGCATTGGGAATCCCGCTGTTCCACAGCATAAACTTGCCTCTGAGAGGAAATTGAGGAATAGACTGCTGGCATTATTGACAATTGTTTTCTTTAACATAGCTCTATTAGGGATAGCTGGAAAGCTCAGCGGGCCGATGTGCTGCACCCATGGGAAAGAGCCTCCTTTCCTTGGACGCCGCGACCAACCAGCTGGACGCGCTAATATTGATTATACCTGTGGCCCCTGGTGAGATTTGCCACCCGTCCAGCCTAAGATTGGGAGAGCTGTCTCTCAACAAGATCCGATTGGCCTTCATGTGGTCCGATGGAGCCACTCGGAAGAGGAGGTTGGCAGCCATGTTTCACGATTGAGACATGTGTTTATACAACGCCGAGACACAACAAATAAGAGCAACAATACTACAGAAATACTACCTGTTGCTAGACAGCTATATGCGATGCCTCGGTATGTAACCGTTGTACCCGACAATTGACAACGAGGAGGCCAGGAATTTCTGTGCCACGTTTCGACGTACAGACAATTTAAAAGCAAATGTGATATACAGTGATTGGACGGGTAGTCCCGACTCGTACGCAATAGCCGAACATGGGGAAATGAGAAGCAGCAAGGAGACAGAATTTCCCAATAAAGAAATGAAGAGGTTTCAATCATATCAATCATATCAATCATAATCTCTCCTTTTGATCAGGTTTGATGAGATATCGATGATGCCCCATTAGGGCTGAATTAGATCGACGCGGAGGCACGGACTGGACGCTACTCGTATGGTGGGGTACACCATCATGGACTACAGTATATCACTGAGCTACTGAGCTGACCAGTTAGTTATCCGCAGAACCCGGCCGCCACAGCTCCGCTAACGATGCAGGGGGGGCCGAAAGTATGGGCTGCATATCGGCCCGGGCATTCCACTTTTGGAAGTATCACTTCAGATATCCTTCCGCCAGGGGGTAGCTTGCCGTACGGGATATGTCTCGAGAAATGGCACAGGAACTCTGGACCTGGGCTTTCAATTAATTTTAAACGCTGGACTGGGGTGCTGAAAACGCTAGTACTGCATATCATAGGCGCCGTACAGTATAATACAGTACTGTAGGTGTTTACTGAGGGTGAGCTCCCTGTTCTTGCTTAGGGGGTAAGTCTTCCCGCAATTAGCCAGGCCAGTCTGGGCGAACCTGGCAAGGCCAGGTAAAACTCAATCTGCGCGCTCTCCGATTGCAGGTGTGTGGAACTGAGCTGGCAGCCTGTGTCGGGAATGATTGGCCAAGGCGGGCATTTGTGAGACAACGGGATGTGATTGCCGCCCACAGAACTAACGGTTTATTGCAGTGCCAACGTCACCTTGACATTTCCGCTTAGGTGTGTGTTTACGAAAATCGAAATAGTATAGTCGATCTGGCAGATCGCGATCGAGGCGGAGTGGACGGACTCTCCCGATGCTACTGCACTGCGATGGAGCTCATTTCGGTACGGCTTACACGGCCCATAGTAGTTTCTGTTGGGATTACTCCTGAACAGACGCCTCACCTTGCTTTAGGTATACCTGCCTTGCCTTGGTTTTACCTTGCCTTCCCGTGCCTTTGGCCTTGCTTTGCAGGCATGCTGCAAGGGGCCTTGTCGATAGATCATTTTTCGATGGAACAAACAAAAAGGGGATTTGGCGTCGGAGATTTGCCAGCGACAAAACAGGGTAGCCGAGCCTCAACCGAATGAGGCCCCGCTGGTTGTTTGAGTTCTCGCCAATAAAAACCGAGGCGTTATATAACTGGGTGTCTTATCTTACAAACAGGCACGACCTTGACTCTCCTTCTGACCTCATCATTTCCGTGCCCCGCGTCATACTCTCCACAAGTGTCTGGAATATATCGATATGGCAGACATCGGATGATCGGACGCTATTGGAATCACTTAACCGCGAACATGTATCACAAGCCTGACCAACAGAACATGTTGTTGTCTCACGGGCTAAGGGGAATCACAGCATCGACAGTAGAGGGATTTAGCTGTCATACCTTCGGCTTGACGATTACACGAATCAGTAATTGCCAAGCCATCCTGCCGCCCCCTCTTTTGGGTCCATCGACTGAGCCGGGCCCCGGCCCCATGAGCTAGGTAGGTTTGATCTAGCGCCCCGAGAGGGTCGAAGGAGTGATTGACTCTAATGGCCCCTGGGACCTGGACCCAATCACGTCGCGAGACCCCACGTGACCCTTAGAGTGATTGGCTTTAATGGCCCCTAGGCCCTAGACCCAATCACGTCGCGAGACCCCACGTGACCCTTAAAGTGGCCGTTTATAATTATCATCCTTAGCTTTATCAAAAGCATTAGCGATGCTGCTTTAAATTGAGGTAGTTCAAGATTCCTAAGTAGAGGATATATTGATGTTGTGTTCTTTTAGGTGCCTTGTAATAATCTTCGTTCTGCTAGACTTAAGATACTCCTTTAGACAGTATCTACAACGCCATATTAACCCGCCCTAGTGGTTATAAATGATATTGTAGCGGCTAACAGGCATATGGTCCTAGACCTTTGAAAATCATTTGCTTGTAGTTGTTATTATAGAGACAGAGGAACAGGATAGTGTACGTTTAAGTACAGGCAAACTTAGGGTTTCAAATTGTTTACTCAAATCGCTCACTGTTGTGCTGTGACAGTACATTAGGTAGTTGTGAAGTCATTGTAGTAATATATAGCATATAACTAATTATTAATTAAGGTTATTCGAACCCCTCGTTTAGAATTTTAAGCCTTAATACTAGCTATATACAGCTAGTATTAAGAACTAAATATGCACTGGATCCATATTAGAATTTGAAATACACACTGACTTAGTATTGCTGTATATGATACGGACCTGTATATGGGCTGTATATGGCCTATATAGCTAATACTGTTTAATACACTAATTCCAACTATTCCCTTTAGCATGATGCCACTATATAAGTAGATAGTTTCTTAGATAGGAACTTCATACTCAACTTAATATAGTATTCTTTACATACTATAATGTGTTACTTAGAAAGCCTTTGTGTCTAATCCCCTACCTCCTCTGTTAAGTAAACCCTATGTAAGAAACCTCTATACATCCTATCATTTAGGAAGTAGCGTTACACTGCCCTTCATAATAATTGCCTAATGTAATTAGCTTGTAGATTAGTAATACATGTGTTTAATGTCCATTATGATGATGCCTATTAAAAAAGTGATAATTTTGCCCTATACAATGCTGCTACACATGACCTCTATTCCTACTACTCTCTAGTCTGTCTAGAGAGTATGTCCTATACTAAATAGGGGTTCTAAGGCTCCTAGTCTTAGAACTGCTTGCTTAACGTGTTTAAGCAGATCAGCCTACCTAACAATGATGACGATAGCAATAGCAAGCCTAATGACTCACCCTTCCCATTTACCCTAATAACTACGAATTGTATAAACCCTACAACTTAAGAGATGCTAATAAGGAAACAGAAGGAGGATGTAATGCTACTGTTATGGCTCACCCCACCTACAGTGCTAAGTCAAGGAATATGTGAGTTAGGAAAGGCTATGGTCATGGGTCACGTATGAGTCATGAAACAGTCATGAGACTAGGACCACATAACTGATCCTACATGGTCTATAGACCAGACAGGATCCATGAGTCATAGGGAGGTCACAGGATGCGACCAATCCTGCATGGTCTATAGACTAGACAGGATCTGTGTGTCACAAGGAGATCACAGGACACAACTGATCCTACATAGTCTATAGACCAGACAGGATCAGTAAGGCATGACGCCACTATATAAGTAGATAGTTTAGATAGTTAGGGATAGTTAGATAGTTGGAATAGTTGTGTTTTTTTCCAACTATCCAACTATCTACTAGTTTCCTAAATCCACTAGCCAGGTCATGCTATAGCCTAGCCCTGCTAGCCTTGTGACTTATGAGTCACATTACTAGAGCCTAGCCCCGCTAGCCCTATAACCATGATGTCACATTACTATAGCCTTAATAGAGGGGGTAGTAGATATATAGGATGATAATAGGGGTTGTTAACTAGTGCTATTAAACTAAGAGCATATAATACTATTAAAAATCTATATGTGGTTATCACCTACATATTAGACAAGTGAAGTAGCAACATTCTTTTACTACAGACTAGTAGACAGAGACTAGCAAGGAACATAGTAGCCTTTGCTAGGTGCTCTAAAAGAGTATTGCTACCTGTTAGAAATACCTAGCTAAGCTTAGAACTAGCAAGCAAGATAGGAGGATAGAGTAGCAGTTATACTAGGACAGCTAGATTAAAGTCCTTAAAGCTAAAGAAAAGGTTATATAAGAGCAGAAAGAGCACTAAGGTGCCATTAGAACAAAGATAGAGGCAAGCGTTCATGCCTATGCTTCACTCCTTACTATAATAAAAGAGAAGTAGGTTA